TCCTTTACTGTCTCTAAGTTGGCTTCTTTCTCCTGGCTAACCTCCTGCTTATAGCTTTCTACTTCTTGATTTAGTTCATAAATATCACTTTCATATTTTTCGATGAGCTTCTGATTCTCCTTTACTGTCTCTAAGTTGGCTTCTTTCTCCTGGCTAACCTCCTGCTTATAGCTTTCTACTTCTTGTTTTAGATCAGAAATATCACTTTCATATTTGTCGATGAGCTTCTGATTTTCCTTTACTGTCTCTAAGTTGGCTTCCTTCTCCTGGCTAACCTCCTGCTTATAGCTTTCTACTTCTTGTTTTAGATCAGAAATATCACTTTCATATTTGTCGATGAGCTTCTGATTCTCCTTTACTGTCTCTAAGTTGGCTTCTTTCTCCTGGCTAACCTCCTGCTTATATCTTTCTACTTCTTGTTTTAGATCAGAAATATCACTTTCATATTTGTCGATGAGCTTCTGATTCTCCTTTACTGTCTCTAAGTTGGCTTCTTTCTCCTGGCTAATCTCCTGCTTATATCTTTCTACTTCTTGATTTAGTTCAGAAATATCACTTTCATATTTGCCAATAAATTCATGGTATGAATGTTTTATCTCATCAAATTTTTTCTGCAAACGTTTCTTGTCGCCTTGCAGGAATTGGATTTCTTTGGTTTTGCTCTCCTGTAGGACGGCATTTGTTGCTTTCAGGCTGTCAATCAGTGCCATGTCTTCCTCTGATTTTTTTAGATGGTCTTTTCTCTCCTCAATTATCCGTTCCTGTAATACCATAATGTCAATTTCATATTTGCACTTTAGCTGCTGATTCCACTTTGCTTTCTCCATTTCTAACTCTTCCCTGGTCTCTTCCAGCTCTGCCTCCAGGTGGGCATGTTTCTTGTTGTCTTCAGACCGTCCAGCGATCTCCATTTCCAGAAGGGAGCTCAGTTGTTGGATTTCCTCAAGCAAGGCATGGTATGCAGGAGTGAACAGGCTTTCAGGGTTTTCCTGGATTTCCCTTCTCGTGGAGTGATGGGGCCCCATCACTCCACTGTTGTATCTTGCCGTATGATCAGACATTTTCTCCAAAACACTATCACTAAAATCGTCGATTAGTAAACTACCTGAAAGAGCTTTGCGCACGTCTGAGCTAGTCAGTGATATTGCAAGCAATGAAAAATATGCAGAATTGTGTTACATACAATTCTGCAGTTGATGACATCACAGACTGCATCGCCAGTGACATCACAGAATCTTCCTTTGCTGGTGGTGTGACATCATTCCACCACCACATATCTTACTCTTTATTCTAGTTTACATTCAAAAAAGTCCCTTTGTATTTATTGTTGTGCTTTAACGTTCATGTTCTTGATCAAACGTCGTCTCATCTTCATTTCTTTAAAGTTTATAAAACGTTTTAGAAACCTGCACATGTAAAAGCCTTTAGTTTGTGAGGCAAAACATTAGAAAACTTATTAATAATCTATATGCATCTTTTCACTGTCCTGACATGATCAGAAATGCATTTCTTGTACAGAGATTTGGTCAAGTGTCACGTCATACACTGCCATCTAGTGGCCAACCATAATTGTTTTTGGTAAAAGTTAAAAAAAAGATATATAATGGCATAAATATCTCAAAAATATAGCTTGGACTTCTTACCTGCTCTGTGTTTTGATTATGACTGTATAATATATATGGGAGATTTCAACACTCATGGTGACAATCCCCAAGACAAAGAGGCAAAAAAGTTATGTGATATACTTCAAAACCTTGGTTTGATTCAACATGTTAAACAGGCAACACATAATCAAACACACTCTCTAGACTTGATTATCATTAAGTTGTGAGTATATTTTTAAGGTCTCTGTAATTGATGTTGCCCTGTCTGACCATTTCTCTGTTATGTTTGAAAGTGACTGCAGCATCTCAACTCGACTCTATCAAGGCCTGCAGACAATTTACCAACTTTTTTTTTACAGAGAACATTTCAAAAATTAATCTGAACACTGAAGAGGAAAAAATTAGTACAATTGTCTAACTGTGTGCTAATTAGACTGTTTATATGTACGTATCCATGCAAGCAGTTTTTAGACACAGTGCAAGAAGAAGGTGCATTTCAAAGGTCAGATAACATGTGATAACCACATAATGCAAGGAAGGTTCAAAGTAAATGTCTATGCATCAAGTTGATTTTTTTATATATTTGCTATTACTGACTGAAGTTTTCCCCTTTGTGCTTTCTTTTCCAATATATGTGTGTGTGTGTGTGTGTGTGTGTGTGTGTGTGTGTGTGTGTGTGTGTGTGTGTGTGTATCAAGACAGGATGCGGGTTTTGTGAAGTATATAAGAATTGTGTGCAGCTGTACTTTGGGCTTTGCTCTGTTCTGTTCTGTTCTGTTCTGCGTGTGACAGAGCCTTCAAACGCTTCAGACCTTCGAAATAACACATTTAAAGACAAAGGTCAATCTTTCTCATTTCTTAACAATTTCTCTACCTTGTATTAAAAATTTCCTTAGCAACACCAACACCAAATCCAATACAATTGGACCAAATGCAGAGAAAATGACAACATTTTAGCAAGCCCTTCCTCCTGTCTTTATATTTTACCCACTTCTGTCTTTGATCTGATTCAAATTGTAAACTTGTCGCTCTCGTGAGGTTTTTCAGTTTGGTTTCCGTTTTTCAGTGTTTCGACAAAAACGTTTTGATATCACAGATTTCTGTAATATTTCTTTGCATCTTGTAGGATGTTGTTACGATGCTGGTGAATAATTAAAGGTTACGTCATTTTGGCTAGAAAAACTTCCGATCACCAATTGACTTCACCTGGGTTAAAAAACGTCGGGTGGGGTGAAGTTAGTATCTATAGGTCATTATTTGCAAACTATAATGAGTTGATTTAGTGTTGTTGCATATTGTTGTGATATACAAAGTAGACTCGTCCTCAATCTTTGTGCATCAGTTTTCTCTGGTACATGGCTAAGGTTGCTGCCATACTGTTTCATATCTTGTTTATGAAGCCTTGTTCTTGCCTAATTTTATGTATTTGATCTGTTACGAAAGCAAGAGTACTTTGTGCCATATCTGAGTGACCCTCATCGCTGTTTTCTCTGCATTTTGAAGAAATGTGAGGGTTTTTTTTTTTTTTTGGTCCTGCATTACAAAGGGAAGCTTCAGCAGAGAATTTACATTCTGTTCAATGTCAAAATTAAATTTTGCATTGATTACACTGCAGCTTTTCCTGACAATAAAATTAACCAAATTGAATTTATGAAACCAATTAGGTTATTATCAAAGTTGTAAATTGCTCATAACTTTAAAACAATGCAATTTTCTTAAGCTGATCTTTTCCTTTTAGAAACAAGTTGTTTGAAGAATGGTGTGATTTAAATCTGCCTACTTTAGGCTGAAGACTGTAATATCCAAACCAGTTATAACATTATATCTGTTCTCAAATGTAAAACCTGGGGGTTGAGGTAAGCTGTGGTCGGGGCTAAAGAAGTATCTAATGCTGTTTTCTAAACTTAATTGCCTCGCCTCAGACTTGAGTGAATTTTTCCCTTATCTCGTTGTTCTGTGAATTCTCAAGTTGAAGGGCTAGACAGTTTCAGTCTGCAACCCACATAGCAGACAGAAAGTATGCGAAAGTCTTTAGTTATTGCAAACTACAAATCTACGGTGGACATTTCCGTCTTTTTAAGTGGAAACGTGAATGTGGTTGGATTGCAATTATTCCGTCACCAAAATTACTTCAGTATAGCCAGAACAATGCGGGTGATTCTTCAGCCCCATGCGGGGAGTCGATTGCATCAGGTCAGTAGTATCATCATCAGCAGCAGCAGCAGCAGCCTGAACTTCTTCTTCCGCCTTAAGTCAGTGCAGAGAGCCAGCGCTCACATCGGAGACATCCTGACAGCGAACTTTTAGGAAATCCAACGAAATGCCAAAAGATTATTTGACCGAGTATGAGCCTCTGCTCACGAAAGGAGGCAAAAAACCGAAAAGGTTTCAGGTAAGCCGACTCTAGAGTCAAGGCTGGATAATCTTGATGCGGTAAGTCTAACTTTACCAATCCTGATGATGAGCTTGTGTTTTCTGTCTGCAGCTGTTTTGTTTCCAGTTCCCAAACAAGATTCTCCTGCTGGCCATGTTTTCGACATGCATAGGTGGCACATTTCAGTGCGGATACAATATATCGATCATCAATTCGCCCACTAAGGTAACCACTGATGCTTCTCATTGACACAGACAGATCCATCCAGGGGTTGAAGGTTGTTGTGGCTTTTAATTTGCAGACGACGGCATTATGATAATTAGCTGCTTACTATGTAATTATATGTTAATTGTTACATTTAACTCTTGTGCATGGAGACGGCGCCCTTCCGCTCATGCTCGATTCTTTAAGAGAGAGAGGTGACTTTTTAAAAGTCACTCCAACAAGTCCTCCATTCACTCTTTTCAGTTGGTTTTATTGGTGTTGGTCACTGGTTAACCACAACGTGGTGGCATGACTGAACCAGTGCAGACTGGACCAGACTGGTGCCACATTTATGTGCTTGAGGGACGTGTGGATTTCACTGGAAAAACAGGATTGTTCCCTTGAAAGTTGTCACTTTGTGGATTTCTTCACAAGGAGCAATTTGTAAAGAAGGGGGAAAAAACAGCTAAAGCAAAAATAAAATACCTTCATTGTTTGATAAAGTCTTATATTGTCAGTTTGCAGTTTGAAAATAGTCCCCCACGTTTTACAGTGAAGCAAAGCGTGATTCAATTTATGCAAGACAGATTTTTGTGGAAAAAAAGAAGAGAAAAGGCTTTAATTATAGTTAAATTTATAAATTGTGGGGAAAACTATTTTTTTAAACGTGAATAATACACATCGTTGCACCCCATTAAAAATGTCTACTGTTTTGACATTTTTTGTCTCACTTAAATGTTTCAGATGGTCATTATTCAAGATTTGATGTCATAACTTAAGTAAATACAAAACACAGTTTTCAATGAATGATTTCATTAAGAGATAAATGAAAATATTTCTGATTGTAATTATGTAACTAAATGTTATTTCTTTTAACTGAATTCTTAAGTGTTTACAGTGTACTACTTGAGCTTAGTTACTGTAGGCGAATGGTAAAGTTTGTGTCATTTTCCATCCACGCTAATGGTATTATTCTACTTCTTTTCTTATTTCAAGTATGTGCAGGACTTCATAAACCAGACGTGGAGGCAGCGTTACCAAACAGAGATATCTAATAATGGGCTTACACTCCTCTGGTCCACCATTGTGTCTATGTTTACCATAGGGGGATTTATAGGAGTGTCCATTGGTGGGACTTTGTCAGTGAAGTTGGGAAGGTATAAAAATTTTGAAAACAACATTTAGAAATGTTGATAGTCTCTTTTATTGTATAAATATTACATTTTCTTGTCTTATGGTTTCTTTCAGGAGAGGGACTCTTCTCGCCAATAATGTTTTTTCATTACTTGCTTCTCTGTTGATGGGCCTGAGCTCCTCTGCAGGCTCATTTGAGATGCTCATTATTGGACGTCTTCTCATCGGAATAAATGCAGGTAAATACATTTATTTTAGGAACAGATTTACAACAAGTGGAACTCCTGAAATCTGAAGCAAAATCAGAACGTGAGGTTCTTCACTTGGTCCAGCTTATAATGAGAGCACGGCTTTTCCTGAAACAGCAAATGAGGTCCATGAAAATTAAAAAATATTTCTCAGCACTTTTAGATACTTTAGTTTGTTCCAATAAATTACACAAAAATCATAATTGTATTAAAATCCAAGCAAAATACATTAAAAATTAAGTACAAATAAAATACAAAGCAAAACTATTTAACTTTTTCATATTTTATCATTTTGAAAGCACAGATTTTACTGTACATTTTGGGGATTTTATGTAAAAGATCAGCATAAAGCAGTGCCTAAGTTCAGACTGATTGATTATGTGTAAACATTCATTTGATTTCAAAAATCTTGTCAAATATTCTCACTTGGCATTTGGTGTAAAAACTACCTTTGTCAGTGAGAGGTGATTGACAGCGTTAAAATCCTCTTCCTGGCTGTGATTGGATGTTTCTATTAGTAGAAATACCTTTTGTCTGTCTCATACCAAAACTGTCGCAACATGATGACACTTTCAACAAATATGTAAAAGAAAAATGTTTTATATATATATATATATAAAGAGAGAGAGAGAGAAGTTTCATACTGCAGTGTTAACAAACACTTCATATTTTTTTACTCAGTGTAATGACTGAATTTTGAAAATAAATGAAATAAATGAACTTTTCAGTTAAGTTATAGTTTTACTGTGTAAGACTGTAAAATCGTGTTATTTTTCCAGGCATTGCGCTGTGTGTTGAGCCTATGTTCTTGGGCGAAATAGCTCCAACATCGTTGCGTGGTGCCATGGGAACAGGCTCCTCCATTTTTCTCACTGGTGGCATCTTGTCTGGACAAGTGATGGGCCTCAAGTTTGTGAAATATTTGTTTCGTTAATTTCAATCTACTGCTGCGTATTGATTTTTGCTGAACATTGAAAACTGATGTAATTATGTTTGTGTATTGATGCAGGGAATTGCTCGGTAAAGAACAGTACTGGCCCCTCTTGCTCTCCACCACGTGTATTCCAACATTACTGCAGTTGCAGCTGCTGCCCTGGTTCCCTGAAAGTCCGCGCTACCTGCTTATTGATAGAGGAGACAAGGAGAAATGTAAAAAAGGTAAGATACTTCAATGCAAGTGTGGTTTCTTTTCTTGTAATTCCAAATTTTAAAAAAAAAAAATTCACGTGTTGCCTGCCAAGAAGACATGGTGCATGTGATGGTGCTGCACAGAAAAGCTAAATACTTCTCAAAAACTGCTAGAGGCTTTCAGTTAAACCATGTGAGCTCCTTCTGATAATTTCATCATGATGTGAAGAAACTGTGGTTTGACCTTTGGTTTCTTAAAAGAAAAAAAAAAGTAGTCTGTCGAAGTGTAGCCATGTGAGAGAAAACGTGAACAGAGAAACTGTTTTTCTGTCTGCAGCCCTGAATCAGTTGCATGGCTCAGAAGGCTCTGACATTGTGCTGGAGGATATCCAGAAAGAGAAGGACAATTTGGTTGGTTTCAAAGCCAAGAAACCTTGGGAGCTCTTTGCAGATCGCAGCATACGCTGGCAAGTCATCACCATCATTGTACTCAACATAGCACAGCAGCTGAACGGCGTCAACGCTGTATGTATGAGCTTCCTGCACTGTGACCTCTCAATGACTTGGCAAAAACAAAGCTTTAAAGACTTGCCCTTGTCTATATCGAATGCAGATGTACTTCTACGCCGATTACTTGTTCCGACAAGCAGGAATCTCAGAAGATAATATACCTTACGCCACCGTCGGTACAGGCGCCTGTGAATGCCTCACTGCATTAACATGTGTAAGTATGAGCTTGGAATGGCATCTTTAAAGACATTTCTACAGTAAGCCACAGAAAAACAAATAAAGGCACAAAAATTAACTGGCACAATGCTTATAATATTACCTGATATACCTCCCATTTCAAGCTTAAAAGTGGTAGTTTTTTTGGTTTTGGGACATGCTGTGTTTCTTTTAGGGTATGCTGGTTGAATCTCTTGGAAGGAAAGTGCTCATCTCGGGAGGATACCTACTGATGAGCATCTGCTGCATTTTATTCACAGTGACGCTTGCTCTGCAGGTAATTCTTCCGAAGGATACGTATCCTTTATAGAGTTATCTATTTTTAAAATGTTCTACTTTACATGACAAGCATTTGGTTGTAGCTGTACAGAACAATAGTAAACACCTTCTCGGGTTTCTTAAAGAAAATGCAGACAAAGGCAATAAAACAAGAAGAATTTTAACAGCTAAACATGACAAAACTGGCTTCTTACCTAATGCCTTTTGTGCTGTCGTCAGAAACATGTGGAAGCTTGCAAAACAAACACAAATCAAAACAGTAGTCATGAAATCTTGACATAGAGGTGTCAAGATTTCACCTCTATGTCAAGAGACATAGAGGTCTCTTGACATTGCTTGGTTTCACAGAAAGTCTGACTTATCTCTCTTCCTACAGAATGTCAGTCCAGTCTTTCCATACTTAAGCGTGGCTTGTGTGTTTGCTTTTGTCTTAAGTTTTGGCTTGGGACCAGGTACGTTAGTAGTTTAGCAAATTTGTCCTATTTCAGTGTTTTCATCAGTAATGCAACATTCTTAATGTTGTTGTTTCGTCCTCTGAAGGTGGCGTAACAAACATTTTAACCACAGAGATGTTCAAACAAACTACTCGGCCTGCAGCTTTCATGATCGCGGGATCGGTGAACTGGCTCAGCTTCTTCATTATTGGCTTGCTCTTTCCCTTTATTGTGGTAGGTGTTGGAAATAACTTCTAGCTTAGTTTTATAAATGTTTTGAAAATATTTGTGGCATATAGTCAGTTTAAAAAGGAATACATAATTGTCTTTTTTGCGAGGAAACCCAATTTTAAAGAAATTTCAAATACATAAGTGTTAATTTTGGCAATAATCACTCAAAAGGCCGCTGGCCCCTCTGAGTCACCCATTTCAGACTGAGCAGTGATTTCCTTTGACGTGATTAGGTTAATTTCACTTCTCATCTGTATCAACTTGACTATTTTATAATCCCTCTGGGTTTTTTTTTTTTAACAAAATGAAACCGCAACATTTCAAGTGCTTGATATCTTATTAGGGGGATTAATGTGATATAAAGCACTGGATGATACAGGAAAACCCAACTTGGCTACACTGCAAATTATAATGAGCAATAATCTTATTAAGTGAGAAATGAGTCTAATAGAATTAAAGTAGTTATTAAATGATTTTTACACCTTCAAACAATGAATGACTGGATATTTCCATTGTACTGGAAGTAATGTAAACATTTTGGTGTGGCGCTTCTAGAATCCCCACTTGAATATGATTGAGAAAATCTGCAGGGAGCCTTCTAACCTCAAAGACTTACTGGCCACTGATGGATTTATATAATATATGTCTCAATTCAGTAAGAGTTTAAAACGGCTTTCAGAGCTCAAACCCAACCTGTGTGTAAACTAATAAAGATGCCCGAGTGTGTATTGGTTGCTTATAATGTCTAATTAGTGACTACCCAAAAGTTTTCTTAAAAAAAAAATGTTTTGATGTCTGTTGAAAGTAAAACGTCTGCATTGAAATGTTGAATGGTTTACATTGACATTTATTTGTTTTTTCCCCAGATCGGGCTGCAGCACTACTGCTTCCTAGTGTTCTTTGTCGTCTGTCTCTCGGTGGGGATCTACATCATCGTCGTTCTTCCCGAAACCAAAAATAAAAGCTTCGTGGACATCCAGAAAGAGTTCCAATCCAGATGGAGTAAAGAGACGAACTTTGATGAAGCAGATGCTTTACTTATATCTACTTCTTTATGATGGGTCTCTGAGTCAGCATTAGAGCTAGCTAAGCTAGCTTATCTACTAAACGAACCATGAAGATTTATTATTCAATTCGGTTTTATTTATATAACTGAGGCACTTTACAAAAAAATAATTTCAATTCAATCATACATATATTCCAAATGATCCCAGTTTTCAAACAGTACAGTAAGCTCAATTCATTATCATCTGTAGAAAAGACACCAGTGATGAATAATATATCTGTGGTACTTTTGAAGATGTTATGATAGTTTTTTTTGTTTGTTTTTTTTTCTTTTGAAAACTTAAGTTGTGTTGATCTGTGTGAATTTTATTGTGCCAAATGGTAGTTTGTATAACTTTTTCAAAGAGCGCCACCCTGCAGTTTTACAATAAAGATAAGCCCATTAAATAAGCTCTTTTGTAACCAATGAAAGGTCTGCATGCCGCTGAAGCTACTTGGTGTTTCATTTCTGTAATCCCTTGGGAGACATGTGATCTGTTGAACAAAGCATTCACTGAAGTGCTGCTCATTTTGGAGGAAAATAAAGAGACATTATTAGGTATAACTAGAGAATATAAGACTTAAGGCTTACATATTTAAGGAATGCATAAATATGGCATAATATTTTTACATAAAGTGTTTTCCTTAGGAGTTATTTTGTTATTCTTTCTTGGTTGTTTTAACAAACTGTGAATACAGCTGACTGATTTAACTGCAGGACTCAAACTATCACCTGACTGAAATGATGAGCTTCACTTGGCATGAAAAATGAAGTCAGTGAGTGTGCTACTGGCGTTGAGTAACAGGTTCTCAGAAAGCATGTACTAGTTCACTTTACAAAGGGAGAGGACGAAAACCTTTCTAAAGTAGCTTTTAATATTTTATATCAGAAATACACTAAAAATTTTAATGATGATAATTTATTGTATTAAAAATCTTTCTTTTAGATCTGTGTATACCAGACTAGTGTAGCAGTTTTTGTTCAGGACTAAAACTGCTAATTATTTATGATAATTTGTCAAACTACAGTTTTAAGCCCCAGACTGGATCTTAAAAGGCCACATTTCATGTAATACTCTGAGATAAATTAACAGATCTTGAATAACCGATAGAAAGAAATAGACTTACGTTAAATATTTAAAGATGAATACATAATGTATTGCAAAAGCGTTCAGATTTATTGATCTGTCATGTTACAACGATAAACTTAAGTATATTTTATTGGAATTCCAAGTTACTCCATTGTTGAAATACCTACTGCTGCAGCTACATTTGAGTATTTTGCATGAATTTTGTGATATTTCTCTATCTGCTTTACAAATCTAGGGACTGAAGGTTTTGCCCATTTTCTTTCCTTTTTTTTTTGTAAAATTCTCTCCATAATCAGGACCCTGATGAAACGGAAGAGGTAATTAATTCAATGTAATTTACTTATATCTACCCGCCCCACCCTCATGGCATCAATAAAGTATTCTTTTGGAACCGAATTGATTTGGAGGACCACAAAATGGGTTTGAATTTGTTTTCTGGGAGCGAAAGGGGTCGTTGAGCGTGTAGTGTCTCCCTCAGACCAACAGGTGGCGGTAACCACCGCCGAACCACAGAGAAGCAAAAAAAGGAAGAGGATGAATCCCTTCCTCCTCATGTCAATATGGCGATGTAGATGTCCTGTCCACGCTGGTTTGTTGACATTTATTTAAAACCTTTATACCGACTGTTTTAGTCGAGTTACAACAACAACCATGTCAAGACTCATCGTTAAAAACCTGCCTAATGGGGTAAGTAAGAACGCGTTCTGTTAAATATAGATAAAAACATCAGCTTTAGATGGTCTGATGATGTTTTCTTGTGTTTAGCTGAAGGAGGAGAGGTTCAGGTCGATGTTTGCTGCTTTCGGGACCGTCACAGACTGCTCTCTGAAGTTCACCAAAGAGGGAAAGTTCCGAAAGTTTGGCTTCGTGGGCTTCAAATCCGAGGAGGATGCGAGCAGAGCGCTGAAACATTTCAACAAGAGCTTTGTGGACACATCCAGAGTAACGGTGAGATTTTCATCAACCCTAAAGAGAAGATAGGTGTGCTATATATGTTGTTTGTTATAATTCATGCACGCACGGTGTTCGTCTACGTTTAGGTGGAGATGTGTAAAGCGTTTGGAGATCCCACTAAAGGAAAAGCCTGGAGTAAGCACACCCAGAGCTCAGAGCAGGATAAACCCTCTGCTGCTTCTTCCACCACAGACAAAAAGAAGGTAAGAGGGCATTTCAGACAGGAACCTGGAGAAAACACCCCAATCAAACCTGCCTGGCTTTCACTGGCTAATACAGATTACAGGCCAGATTTGACTTCGTTTCTAATGACTATTACACATATATGCTCATTTAATTCAACAACTATTGTTGCATCTCAATAAATCAGAATACAAAATGAAAAGTTTGCCATCCCCTAATTCAGTTTTATGAAATGTCTTTGTTAAGAAAGCTGAATCTTTGCAGAAGATTTCCTTCGTAAGGAAAAACATGTCATAGTAAGGGATGCACAAGTAAAGCAACAATCACCAAACAAATTTTTTTAAAGGAAAAAATACACATTTTTCCTGCTTCCTTCAGAAAGGAAGCAGTTTTCAGTGAACATTTGAAGGGATTCAGTTTTTATTTGTGATGCTTCTCATAAACAGGACGATTACTTAATCTGCCAATCACTGGTCAGAGCCAATCTATTGGTGCATCTCTAATTTGTGAAACATTGTCAGAATAAACTGTACTGTACGTTTGTTTGTGTTGAAATTCAGACAAAGACGGGGGAAAAGGAAACCAGCAGTGCACTGGGAAATGTGAGTAAAAAAACAACTGTGTTTCCAGTTACACTGTAGCTATTAAATATAAAAATGTGTTAAAAAGACAAATCAAATGACAATGTTTAAGCTATTTTTCTTACTTGTAGATTTTAGATGTAGAAACAATTTAAACAGTAGTAGTATGTTAGCACTCACTAACATTGAGCACTTTGTGACTCTTTTGTTAACTGTTGTTAGAATATTTTTTTTTTTCTATTCACTTTCTTGTGCTCGGTCAGCTGGAGGCAGAAGATGGATTCAATGAGTTTCTATCAGTGCATCAGAACCGCAGCCAGGCCCAGACCTGGGCAAATGACATGGCTCAGGATCCGGCTGACTCCGGAGGCGTACAAACGCAGAAGAAGAAAAAGCCTGCCTCTGATGATTACCTTAACTTTGATTCAGACGAGTCAGAGGATGAGAAGCACGATGATGATGATGATGATGATGAAGAAGAAGAAGAAGATAAGGGTTGGTTGTTTCTTTTTTCCTCCTGAAATTTAGTACAAATAGTCCAGTTGTATTGTTCAAGTAGAATTTGAAGATTTTTGTGCTTTTAGTTGCCTCTAAAGAAGCCCTGAAGTCCGGCCTGTCGGATATGGACTACCTGCGCTCCAAGGTGGCTCAAACTATGGAGGAGAGTGACGAAGAGAATGAAGCTGATGAAGAGGAGGAGGAGGGTCCTGTTCAGCATGGGGACAGCGCCTATGAGAGTGGTGAACGAGAAAACATCTCAAAGCCTAAACCTTTCGCTGGGAATAAGAAACAAAGTGCCCAAGAGGAGGTATATTTAGATGAAACGACACCTTAGACATAATCATTTGGTTGAACTCATGTGTTCAAAACCAGATTTCTTTGTTCAGATGGAGCCGACGACAGATTTCACAGTGAAGCTAAGAGGCGTCCCATTTAATGTAAAAGAGGTGAGATAAACCGCATCACCAGCGCTGTCTTGCTTTACAAACAGGCCGTAATTGTTATTCCACTTTTTTCATGTTAAATTCTGTTAGCAACAAATCCGAGAGTTCATGACTCCACTGAGGCCTGCAGCCATCAGGATCGGGAGGAACGAAACTGGAAACAGAACCGGTGTGTGTGAAAAAAAATACAATTAAAAAATTTAATTAAATTATATGTATATATGGTTTCTGTATGAACAATGTGAAGATCCGTATGTCAAACAAGCTCATGTGGCTCCTTCAGGTTATGTGTATGTGGACTTGCACTCTGATGAGGAGGTGGAGAAAGCTCTGAAGAAGAACAAAGACTACATAGGTAAGAAGTCAATAAATAAGTAAGTAATTTGGAACTATTAAGATTGTATTAATCACCACCAATATACAAACGGGTGGTGTTTGCCGTCTCTGAGAGTTTTATCAAGACAAAAAAAACTGGTTCCTGTCATTTAAGAGTGATGTACCATGAAGTCTTTTTTCCAGGCAAAACCTGGATCCATCACCTTGTCATCTGACTCAATGCAAGACTTGTTTGTGGATCCTGAATTGTTAAGATAAAGAGCCCGTCTCATCACTATTCACCTCTATCTATTGTTTAGATGTTGTTTTTTATTTTATGCTGTGGAATATGACTGTGGAGCTTGCTGAAGAGTAAGTTCAATCATTTTGGGCTGGAACGGTAGTAAAACAGTTTTTATTCCCACTAAAAAGAGCTTTTTGTGAGCTTTATAAGAGTATAATTTTATTGAAATGTTTGTGGGTCAACCCCAAGAAGAACAGTCTCGAATATGGCAGAAACTAGTGGGGATCCTTAAATAAACAAATAAAATGTACTAATACATAAATAGACTCTATATCCATTTAGAAGTTTTCTATTCATACCAAACACTCAAAGTTTTGTATAATTATCTGGGCTTCATGTGATACACCTGTGTGTTATTTTAGCCGGTTTAAATGAATTAAAGAAATGTGGGCTTTTCCTACTTTTATTCTTATCAGAACATTTAAATTTAACTTTAAAAGGTTTTTTCTTCTGGTTTTGTTTAGTTTATATGAGGTAGATTTTGTGCTGTTTTCAAAATCTATTTTCAAGATCTAGAAGTCCAAATAGCTTAAACACACCCTGTAATATGTTTTCCATGTTTACCCGTATGTCCGTACACTCACACGAGCTTATTTGTGATTCTGCATCAGTTTATCTGAGCGTAGTCTTGGTTTAACAGCAGCGCTGCTTGCTTTCCAGGAGGTCGTTACATCGAAGTCTTCCGCGTTGATTCATCGGGGGCGAAGAGCAAGAGGAACAAAAATGACAAAGAAATTGACAGAAACTTCACCAGGAAGCTGAAGGAGGACGAGGAAGAGGAGGATGTTTCAGAGTCTGGTCGACTCTTCATCAGAAACCTTCCCTACACCTGCACAGAAGAAGA